AATCTCCAATTACTCTGTATGAAACTCATAAACTTATTTCTAAATTTCGTAGCATCAGTGGTATAAATGGGGGATTTGATTAAGGAGTAGTGATAGAATTTTTTTCTCCTCTCTCACTAACTCTACCATGTATCTTTCGATCATAACTATTAGTTGTTTCAATCTTGTTCCGAAGCCGAATAACAAATGCATTGATCACCTACAAAATTTACTATGAATGAATAAAATAGTTAATATAAGTGATTTTATATACAACATCAAACAAACCATAACACAAATGTTTAGAACCTACATTATTACTGAGTTCACCTCCTGTTAGTAGTTTATAAGCATCTAAGCGAGATACGCTTGCTTTAGCACATTTCCAAATGTACGTATCACTATATGCAAGTACATGGTAAGAAAATTGCAACACAAATTAAGTAAATTCAAAGATTATTATTAGAATAAGTCAGTAACAAATACCTGGTCATTTTCGATTGTAGAAAGTCTTCAATTAATTTGTCCTCATAATCATAGACCAGTACCTTACCTGGATAGTCGAGAGATGTAGGTATAAAGCCTTCTTCATTTTTGCACTTTTTTCCGCTCAGGACTATCCACTATCTAGATGACATGTTTCTTCTTTGTGCCTTCCTTTGCTTGATCCATATAAGGTGAAGTAACAGAGGGTCCATCATTCCTCTTCCTCTTTCTGACAGCCCATTTGATAGATGGGGTTTCTCTCCTATTCTCATTACCACGGTCCTCTTTTTAAGAAACATCTCTATGGATCTGAATGCATATAATTAACAAAGAGTAACACAAGAATTATATGAAAAGTATAAAAAGTAAAATTGTAAGAGAATTAAAAAAACTAAACTCACCGAGCTTCTTCTAAAATTTTCATGTCTCTTGGGCTCATCACAAAGTCATCATCAATAACGGCTTCCCCAATTTCTTCCGAATTCTCATATTCATTAGCTTTCATATCCTCTTCGCTTTTATTTTCAAATATTACATTTCTGTCATCCTCTTTCTCCTTGTTTTTTGTGCATCTAGCACTATGTTCTTCTAATCCTCATAATTATGTAGTGAGCTCGTTCAACTCGTACGTCTTCTCCGTAATTAAGGCAATTAATTCAGCTTTCATTGATTCCCATAAGACAAAAAAATACAAGTATTAGTACTTATACTATAGTTGCAAACATAGAACATAAAAAATGAGACATAAAATAATGAACTATGAGAGCAAAGATATGTACAAATACTCTTGGCGATGCCCTATAAATAAGAGGAGTATTCTCTTGACCATTATCAGTAAGAAACTTCAGATCTCTATATAATTTGTTCATAGTAGTCCTCCTCCACTTTTTGGTATTCTTTACACAAAAGAGCGGCGATAACATTTCAATATCTGAAGTATACTCTAATTTCCCTACTTTTTTATAAAACCAAACCTACAATATAAAAACTATACATTAGCATGTGCATAAACAATAATCATAATCAAATTGAAAAGATATACAGAATAATGTTCATGTAACTCACTAGTAAAACGGAGGAAAAACCACCCATGTACCCAACATTTGAGCGCTGACCTAATCCCCTCATACTAAGAGACTTATTTGCTTTATTCGTCTCTTTGCAAAGAAAAGTAAACATCGCATTACACCAATTATATTTCTTCAAAGTTGATAACTGCTCCACGTATCTAAATGCCCATAAGGGACATGTCTTACATGTTCGCATGCGTAATATGAAGCCGATAATGAAAGCCACAATAAGTTTCACACATATTATAGGGTCTTCATTATTCATATCTATAATCAGCTCGGCCATTCTATCGCGCTTCCCCCAAATCACCACCTTTTTTCTCATCGGCTTTCTTTTTGCCTTTAGAGCTACTACTCTTCTTCTTCTTGAGTGTCTTATAATTCTTTACAAAATTGGTGAAGATTGTATTAGATGTTGTCCCACTCATTTTTATCAAAATTCCTTCCTTTGGCAAACCGGTAATTCGGTGAATATCATCTATACCAAACACACAATTTTTATTCCCAATCATGAATGAGCATGTATCGGAATTAAAATATTGAATCAAGCAATCAATTGCTATTTGCTCATTGCTCAATGATGTGGGTAACTTGAGAAAGTTATGAAAAGGAGTCGTCTCTAGGGATTTTTTGTGTCTTTTATCCAATATTATTCGCTTATCAATTAAATCTTGAAAATAACACAAATTGGACGGAATTCTCAATTGTGTTATCATAGCCCTACAAGAAAAGTATAATTCATAAATAGTTAATTTTTATATATATTTGGGCAAATTAAGACGCAAATTAACACAAACAATATACCTAAAAATTAAATAGATCCTCGATATGACAATAATCACAATAATTTTTATAAGTTTATTAACATAAACATTATCTCATGGCTTAGAACACTGCCACATATGACATGTGTACTCTGATAAAAAATAATCACCCCACTCATTGTAATGACACCGATTCATATGGGGTTTCTATATCTAAACAAACAACTACATAATACATAACAGATTTGGAGAAGGGGAGAAACACATGCAAGAGGATATATCTCATCAAGCAATGATTTGTTGACACAGACATCAATAGGCGGAGGTAGCAATTTCAACTTTCGACGCATATTAAAACAAACATTATATCTCATAAAAAATTTACTTACAACGTTAGAAGATTATTGCATTTAGAAGAGGAAGACTTTGATTTTAAAGAAATCGAAGGCATTGATGCTTTCAATTTGTTCAAAGTCATGAGGGCTGATAAAGAGGTCAAAGCGAGCTCCAAGTGAGGAGATGTCGAGGACGAGTGCGAGCTTCAACGGCGACGCTGAGCGGGTGCGGATAGCTTCGCCTGAGCGGCGTGTTGTGGTGCTGAAAAGGAGGGGGGGTGTTTTGAGGGCTGAGTGGATGTCGAGGGCGCTGAGCACATTAAGGCGGTGAAGAGGAGGGGGTGTTGTGAGCTGAGCGGATGTCGTGGGCGGGTCTTCAACAGATGCAGCGACGCCGACGATCTTCGGTGGCAGCCTGGGAGGTGACAATTTGTGCCGCTGAATAGGAGGAAGGGGGTGAACGCGATAGGGCGCTGAAGATTCCCGCTGGTTGTCGCGCTGATCGGATGCCTAACGCCGACACTCAGATCGCCGACGGTTGTGGTGCTGGACGTTGAAAACCGCAGGGGGGGACGTGAGAAAGAAAAGCTATAGCGTTTTTTTTCTTTTTACGGAATTGTTATTGATGGAGGGGTTTTTTTGGGAATTGTTATTAATGGAGGGCTTAGATGTATTTGGGGTTTTTGAATCAATGGCCAATATCGTGCATCCTTAGGCTGCATCTAGGGAGTCACCTTAGATTCACTTTACCCATTATATAATATTATCTAATATAGCATTATTATATATCATTATTACATATTGGTTAATACTATTTCATAAATTATAATATTACTTTATTTTATTTAATATATATTTTATGAGTTAGAATAAAAATACTATTGTAGTATTTATATGATATATAATATTGTATTATAATATAGTGTTTATATATTTAATATAACAATATATTAATTATATTATATAATAATTTACTATTTTCTGTTATATTTTATTATATTAATTAATAGTCTTAAATATATTGTCAATATTTTGGTAGTTATAATATTAAATAATATTTTATAAGTATGATAATATATATAAAATTAATATAATATAATATATCATTTAATAATATTTTTAAGTAACAACATTAAACTTATTAATAGTATATTATATTATATTAATTAATAACATTATATATAGTTATAATTAGCTAGTAATTATAATATAATATATTTTATTTTAGTATAAATTAAACATAATATATTATACTATAATAACAAACCAAATAATATGCTAAACTAATTAGGTAAATTAATTTAGAATTAAGTGATAGATAAATATTGTACTTTAAAAAGGTGCCACACCATCAATTATTCCATAATAATTATCAAATTAAAGCTTTAAATTTTTTTCATTATTCTAAATTGTCTCACTTTATACCACTCAAAATATCTCAAAGAGATAAAATTGTTCCATTAAGGGGTGTTAGTTAGCTAGAACATTTTTGATAGAAGTGGCACAATTTTTTATGAGATAATTTTTTAATATGGGGTATTTTAATAGGATAATTGGGAGTAATTTTCTAAAACATGATATGTTAATGGGACAATTGTTAGTATAATCAAGGATAATTTTTAGAAATCAATAATCATATAAGTCATGTATTTTGATGATAAGAATACCATTTATACATTTTAAAAGTTATTATTATTATTAATTATTTATTTTAGTGTTAATTAATTTTGAAGAACTGTTTTGATAATAATAATTTGTAGCTTTTTTAATTTTTTGGAATTATTATTGTAATATAAATTAAAAAACATAGTTTTCCCCTTTTTTCTCTTTCTTTGATCTACGAGACATCATTCCATCATCTCTCAATTTTAATTAATTTTTAATAAAACATGAATATTGTATCTTTTAAATTTAAATTAATTATATAATTCAAATATTTAATAAAAAGTAAAAAATAACATTAAATAGAAGGAAACAGTAAGAAGAGATATAATCTAATTTTATGGTGTGGTTTGAAGATGATGGAGAAATAAAATATGAAAAATAAAAAAGTTTTAGTTTTTTTATCGTGTAGTTCTCGCTTAACACTTGGAACAATTTGAGTGATTAGAACTATCTCTTTTCTATACAAATTTGATAAAAGTGGGATACTTTTGGACAATTATCACAGTTCTACTTTTTATCCCATTCTTATTGACTAACACTATATAATTTTATTCTAGTTCTAGTTCAAATAGACTAACACACAAAAAAAATCCTATAAATTATCTCAGTTCTAATTTTAAGTTTTACTTACCTAACACTCATTAAAAGAATTATCTCACTTAGCCCTAAATTGTGCCGACCAATAACCCCCCCTAAAAATTGAAAACCTCCTGGCTCACTATTCAACCAAACACCCCTTAGCAACATCTATGGCTGCTGCTGTCTCCAGCTTCGCGCCCCAAATTTCTAGGGTCAAATCTATCGCAGCATCTCTTAACCGATTCCATCATCATCTCAAAACCCTTTCTTGTTCCTCTCGAGGTATCAACATCCTCTCTCAAATTTGATCCATTTTCTGTTTATTTTTGGCTGATTTTATCCGATTTTGTCACAGGTATGTGCCTCGTCGCTCATGCTGCGAAGTCTGGAGGCAGCGGTGGCGGTGACGCTTCGGCGAAGAACATTGTCGAAATGGTAATTTTGCATTTGTAATTTTGGATTCTACTGAGAGTTAGGGTTTGCTATGATCGATAACTCTCTACTTGCTAATATTTACCTCTCTGATAATGTATGTAAAATGATTAATTTGAGTGGCAAGCCTTTTAGATTTATAGTCTCAGGTTTAGGGCTTAGTCTCACCATGACAAAATCCTTCATGTTCACTCACATTTTCAAAATAGAGTCAAACAGTAAAGAATTCACCTTGTTTAAGCCGTGGATAGGTAAGTATATCATTTGAAAGGTTATCATTAGAAAGGATGGCATCATAGGAAGGGAATGCTTCTAAGTTCAGAGAATGATCATTGCAATTTTTCCTTAGAAAAGTTGAATTTCCACCAGTTTCATCAAAGAGAGTAACGGAACTATTGCGAAATGGGATCCACTATTGGGAACAAAAACCAGCTTCGACTTTTTTAATTCTTGTACAATTGTAAGATGCTTTGGTGCCTAGATGCACTCTATAAATCCCTTTTTGTCTTTGGTCTTTAAAGTTACCTTCTTCGATCTTACATCAATTGCGTATTTGTTAGACATGAGTTAAGATGCTTTAGTGCATCTTCTATCATCACATATAAACTTTGGGACACATAGATTGTCGATGCCTCCATTTTTAGTTCTCGTCCTTTCAGTTTTCTGATTTTATGTATTTTTGTTTTGTGGTGCTAATGGCCCTAGAGCCTAAGCCCTGTTATCCCGCTTTCCTCTACTTTTTGCTTTTCATGTTAATATATAGTCCCTCGAAGATTGTGACCATTACAACCCAATGTGATTTATGTCGTCGTTTAAGATTTCTGAAACGTCAATATCCCGGAGCTCCTGATGGATGCAGGTGTTTGGATTTTGTGAAAGGCTGCTGCTGTCTCCAGCTTCGCGCCCCAAATTTCTAGGGTCAAATCTATCGCAGCATCTCTTAACCGATTCCATCATCATCTCAAAACCCTTTCTTGTTCCTCTCGAGGTATCAACATCCTCTCTCAAATTTGATCCATTTTCTGTTTATTTTTGGCTGATTTTATCCGATTTTGTCACAGGTATGTGCCTCGTCGCTCATGCTGCGAAGTCTGGAGGCAGCGGTGGCGGTGACGCTTCGGCGAAGAACATTGTCGAAATGGTAATTTTGCATTTGTAATTTTGGATTCTACTGAGAGTTAGGGTTTGCTATGATCGATAACTCTCTACTTGCTAATATTTACCTCTCTGATAATGTATGTAAAATGATTAATTTGAGTGGCAAGCCTTTTAGATTTATAGTCTCAGGTTTAGGGCTTAGTCTCACCATGACAAAATCCTTCATGTTCACTCACATTTTCAAAATAGAGTCAAACAGTAAAGAATTCACCTTGTTTAAGCCGTGGATAGGTAAGTATATCATTTGAAAGGTTATCATTAGAAAGGATGGCATCATAGGAAGGGAATGCTTCTAAGTTCAGAGAATGATCATTGCAATTTTTCCTTAGAAAAGTTGAATTTCCACCAGTTTCATCAAAGAGAGTAACGGAACTATTGCGAAATGGGATCCACTATTGGGAACAAAAACCAGCTTCGACTTTTTTAATTCTTGTACAATTGTAAGATGCTTTGGTGCCTAGATGCACTCTATAAATCCCTTTTTGTCTTTGGTCTTTAAAGTTACCTTCTTCGATCTTACATCAATTGCGTATTTGTTAGACATGAGTTAAGATGCTTTAGTGCATCTTCTATCATCACATATAAACTTTGGGACACATAGATTGTCGATGCCTCCATTTTTAGTTCTCGTCCTTTCAGTTTTCTGATTTTATGTATTTTTGTTTTGTGGTGCTAATGGCCCTAGAGCCTAAGCCCTGTTATCCCGCTTTCCTCTACTTTTTGCTTTTCATGTTAATATATAGTCCCTCGAAGATTGTGACCATTACAACCCAATGTGATTTATGTCGTCGTTTAAGATTTCTGAAACGTCAATATCCCGGAGCTCCTGATGGATGCAGGTGTTTGGATTTTGTGAAAGATATCCTTGACCAAAACAAAAATGTACTGGCTGGTGCATGACATCGATGAATGGATGATCCGTTGCTAGACAATAGTCATATTCTCCAACTATTGACGACTTTCTATTTATGAGATTTTCTATATTAAGCATATCGTCATAAATAGCAACCATGCAAAGTCTATGATCTTCTGTGGAATCTTGAGTTCGCAAAACATCCTAATAATTACGTTAGTCTCACTCCCTGATGGTTTTACCATTGGTATAGCAATCGTATTAAAAAGACACCAGAAGGTTCCCATCTCCGCGCTCTGACCTTTCATGCAGTGGGCCTTCGATGTTACAACACATCCACTAGCTTGCCATAGATCTGTGAAAGAGTAGATGGCATCAGTTTCCCCATCAGTCGTTGTGCGACCAGACATTTTAGTACTGGAAAAGGTCTCTGAACCTGACAATATAGTGCCTAACTAGACATATTCGTACTGAACCAGCTAGAAAAGGTCTCTGGACTCATATCTTGATTGATCTTATACGAACTTAATGATAGAGTTCTGGGTCATGGCATAACACCCAAAAGTATAATTCTGATTAGGCCAATCGTAACTTTGTATACTTGTAGAGTCAGGGAGCCTGTCAGGGAGTAGGACCTGAACTTATTGTCAAATACCAGAATACCCATGAGGTGCCAAAGACTATGTCTATGATGTTGATTGCAGCACCTGGTGTGGTTCTTGGTTGCTAGATTTAGTGGATGGAAATTTACCCGATGCACATTAGTAGGGGTGCAAAATGGTTCGGGTTTATCCGGACCGATCGCAACTGTATTCGTTTAGAAAGAGGATATGATAGGGAAAAAATTAAAACCAGTTAGATATGGTTTCGGATACGGTCACGGTTTAGATGTTTTATTCGGATACGGTTTCGGATACGATTATCGGGTCGAAATTACGGATACGGTCCGTATATCTGGATATTTGAAATGGGCTAAGTTTAATACTTGTATTGGGTTGGGTCTATAATATATACTCATGTTATCCGTAACCCGACCCAAATTCAACTCAATGAAAAGAGTCAGGCACCTCGCAGAGAGTCAGAGACCCAAATTCTTATCCCTGTTTCTCCAAGCCGCAATCCGCCTCTAAGCTTGGCCTCTCCTCCGAGCTCCACCTCCGCCTTCGGCTCGGCCTGCGTCTCCGCCTCCGATCCGCCTGCTGCTCCCCTCCGCCTCCCATCCGCCGCTCCGGCCTGCGCCTCTGCCTCTGCCTCTTCGCGGCTCAACTCTTCAAGAAGTCTGCGGCCGCCTCATCCTCTTGATCGACGCAACGACGACTATCGACGACGTTCGACCTGCCCTTCTCCTCAATTTCGTATATCACTAAGGTGAATTCAAAACTCTAAGGCCTAATTTTTTTAATAAAAGCCCTAATTTCTAGCATTTGTTGATTGAATTGAAAACCCTAATTTATTTGATAAAAGTCCCTAACCTATTAGCCCTAAATGTTTTTAGTTGCATATATGATTGTAATTTGTATCATTATATTTTTTTTGTTTGATTAAGTTTATAAATTTCAATGAACAGATATTAGAATCATGTCGTATAATCCATCCGTTCAAGCTTCTAACGAAGAATCCACAGTCGAACCCCCCGTTAAACTGGTCATTAAACCCGCAGTAGAAGAGTCTTCTAATAAAACAGAGGAAAAACCTGAGAAAATGGAAAAAAATTAACTTTTGATGTATGGTTAGACTTTAAGAAAATTGATAAAGTTGAAAAGAAAATTATCGATGGGAAAGAAGTTGAAATAAAAATCAAGATAGTGAAATGTAAACATTGTTTGTTTGAATATGATGGACGTAGTTCAGGGGGTACTACACATTAGAAATCATATTATGAAGTGCTCCAAAAAGAAGAGACCCGATATTCGTCAACAATTAGTTCAAGCTACTATAAAAAATAAAGAAAGGACTTGTGCACTTAGTAATTATCATTTTGACGATGAGAAGAGTCAAACTTTACTTACAAGAGCTATCATCGTCCATGAGTATCCATTTAACTTGGTCACACATGACTTCTTTTTACAATATGCGCATTCTCTTCGTCCAAATCACAAGGTTCCAAGTCGTGCACAAATCACAGAGTTATGTATGAAAGTTTATGATGAATATAAAAAATCTTTATTTGATTTGTTTGTCACATCTTCCATAAGGTTAAGCTTGACAATGGATAAATAGACATCATCTTCACAAAATGATGATACAAATGTGGCTATGGCTTTTGCACAAAATGATGATACAATGGATAAATAGACATCATCTACACATGATCCAATATTTATTAAATTTTCTTTTCATTGCAAAAGCCATAGCCACATTTGTATCATCATTTTGTGAAGATGATGTCTATTTATCCATTGTCAGGCTCAACCTTATGGAAGATTTGACAAACAAATCAAATAAAGATTTTTTATATTCATCATAAACTTTCATACATAACTCTGTGATTTGTGCACGACTTGGAACCTTGTGATTTGGACGAAGAGAATGCGCATATTGTAAAAAGAAGTCATGTGTGACCAAGTTAAATGGATACTCATGCACGATGATAGCTATTGTAAGTAAAGTTTGACTCTTCTCGTCGTCAAAATGATAATTACTAAGTGCACAAGTCCTTTATTTTTTATAGTAGCTTGAACTAATTGTTGACGAATATCGGGTCTCTTCTTTTTGGAGCACTTCATAATATGATTTCTAATGTGTAGTACCCCCTGCACTACGTCCATCATATTCAAACAAGCAATGTTTACATTTCACTTTCTTGATTTCAGTGTTGTAAATAGCGGCGCGAATAGCGGTCGCAGCCCTTCAGCGCTACGCGTAGGGGTTTCGCGGTTGGCTTAAGCGGGAAAATCCGCTATTCATTCGAATAGCACGTAAAAGCGGATTTTAGCGGGTTAAAAGCGAGTTTTCACGGTTAAAAGCGGATTTTTGTTGTTAAAAGCGGCTAAACCCGCTATCACACATATTATGATGCTATATTTCTTGAATTTCTTCATAGTTTCATTCATACAACAAGCTTATTAATTGTTATTTATTAATAATACAAGAAATTTACAACTAATTGAATTTTTAGATTTTTTTATGAATTTTTTTATTATTTAGGATAATTAAATATATTTAAATTTGATCGCTATTTGACTGTGCGCTATTTGCCGCGATTTCGCCGTAATAGCCCGATATAGCCTTAGCGGTACCTCGCCGCGACGCGCCGCGATCCGCTATCAGCAACCTTGCTTGATTTTTATTTCAACTTCTTTCCCATCGATAATTTTCTTTTCAACTTTATCAATTTTCTCAAAGTCTAACCATACATCAGAAGTTAATTTTTTCCCTTTTTTCAGGTTTTTCCTCTGTTTTATTAGAAGACTCTTCTACTGCGGGTTCAATGACCGGTTTAACGGGGGGTTCGACTGTGGATTCTTCGTTAGAAGCTTGAACTGATGGATTAGACGACATGATTCTAGTACATGTTCATTGAAATTTATAAACTTAATCAAACAAAAAAAATATAATGATGCAAATTACAATCATATATGCAACTAAAAACATTTAGGGCTAATAGGTTAGGGATTTTTATCAAATAAATTAGGGTTTTTCAATTCAGTCAACAAATGCTAGAAATTAGGGTTTTTATCAAAAAAAATTAGGACTTAGGGTTTTGAATTCACCTTAGTGATATACGAAATTGAAGAGGAGGTCGGACGTCGTCGATGGTCGTCGTCGCGTCGATCAAGAGGATGAGGCGGCCGCGGACTTCTTGAAGAGTTGAGCCGCGAAGAGGGGAAGCACAGGCGGAGTGGGAGGCCAAGCCAGAGGTGGAGCTCAAAGGCGGAGGCAGCTTGGAGAAACAGGGATAAGAGTTTGGGTCTCTGACTCTCTGCCGAGTGCCGACTCTTTTCATTAAGTTGAATTTAGGTCGGGTTGCGGATAACATGAGTATATGTTATAAACCCGACCCAATACAAGTATTATACTTAGCCCATTTTAAATATTCGGACTGTATTCATAATTTCGACCCGATAACCATATCCGGATAAAAAATCTAAACCGTAACCGTATCCGAAACCATATCCGGTCGTTTTTAATTTTTCCCTATCATATCCATTTTCTAAACAGATACGGTTGCAGTCGGTCCGGATAAATCTGGACAATTTTGCACCCCTATGTGTGTGTGTATGTATGTATATACATGTATATGTGTATACATATACATGTAGATATAGGTATGTCTATATGTGTGTGTGTAGATATATGTGTATGTGTGTGTGTGTATATATGTAGATATATGTGTGTGTGTGCGCGCGCGCATGCGTGCGTGCGTGCGTGTGTGTGTGTATATATATATATATATATATATAATATATATATATATATATATATATATATATATATATATATATATATATATATATATATATATATATATATAAATATATATATATATATATATATATATATATATATAATATATATATGTTTCACAATAACATGATTTACTCATTGATTTAACTGGGCACAATACCCTCTATCTTTATTTCGCATGCTTGTTTAGGCATTGTGCTTCAGTTACAGAGAAGAGGCCTGCCTTATTGTTGTATGCTACTTTAGAAGTGTGAAATTGTACTGATTTTCTTCGTCATTTTCAAACAAGGCAAGACGGGCTTCAATAAGAAAAGAGATTCTCCATACAGATTTTCTTACTCCTCCTGTTGTGAATGAGACCCTTCTTACTCTAGGAAAACTAGCTGATATCAAAGCGGTGTCCCAGGGAGGATATCCACAGGTGAATAACTATTTTTTCTTTATATAAACCCTTCGTTTTTCCAGAAATTTTATTTATAGTTTGGAATCTGAAATTTTATTTATAGTTTGGAATCTCTGTTGGTTTTCCCAGGCTGAAAGATGTCGCATTTCTGTTGGACATCCTGAAATTATGACAACTATTCCTGATGTAGTTGCTGCTCTGAGGTCTACTCAACACTTCTTTTCTGAGAACTTGTGTACCTTATTGAGGTCGCCTAATTGATTTGTGCTTCCAGTATCTCAGGGAACTTTGGGTTCGAACCTTGTTCTCATGGTGACTTCCTTGGTGCTATTCTTGGTACCGGAATTGTAAGAGAGAAGCTTGGAGATATACTAGTACAGGTTTGCTAGTTAGCACCCAAAGGATACGTGTAGTTTGTTATTCTCATATTTGTTCTGTTTTCTCAATGTAAATTTAATAGGTTGCTGACTTCTCCAGGGAGAAAAAGGGGCCCAGGTCCTTGTAGTTCCAGAACTTGTTGAATTCATCACATCAGCATTGGATAAGGTAGGGAATGATTTTGTTAATAAATTGTTGATAATTTTGTTTAGGTAGAACCTTTATCAGGGCAAATATTGCTAATGATTTACTGTAGATTTCATAGTACATCTGTTCAAAACTGCAAAATATTTAATTATGTTTTCTTGCTGAAAGTAGATTACTGATTGCTAGATCTATATGAGTTGATTCATTATACAGCAACTATCCATTTATTTAAGAGGATTAAACATAATTGAAAGTGATCACATATCTCTGCATCATAGTTCTGATTTTTAGCTGCCAAAAGCATGTTTCAGGTTTTATCATTTGAGTCAAATAGATGCAGGGCTCGATATTGGTTAAATTGATGTATGACCTAGATTTCCATGACTTTTATATCTCCTCTATCTGATCAGTCACATATGTCTAGCAGCCTCTTAAGTATCCTGAATGATTTGGTTGTCAACATGAGATAGCTTATTAGCATGTAGAGGGTCTCATCATGAACTTATTAATGTAAGAAGATTTTTCAAGTAGCAATGCCTTAACTATGTCTTAGGTTCTTTTCATCAATTGCTAAATATTATTTTCCGTTGGACAAGACTTAAGCAAATCTATTATATTTAATCAATTAATTTCCCTGGCTTTATTTTGATATAAACTCCTTATCTAATATTGACTCAACTCCTTATCTAATATTGACTCCCTCCCTCCATCCCTCCTTCCCTCACTCACACATATGGGCAACCCGATTTATGCATAGTTTTGGATTTCCTTGTTCAGCTACATCTGTATTTTCTGAGATTCTTCCTTTTTAAAAGCTAATGCCAATCGCATCTTAATTCCTATGGCAGGCCGCTTGTAATGTGACTAGATGATAATATATTTTGGTTTTGAACTAATATGCACGGCTACATCTGTATGGGCAACCCAATTTATGCATAATTTTGGATTTCCTTGTACAGCTACATCTGTATTTTCTGGGTTCTGTTTTGAAGCTAATGCCAATTGCATCTTAATTCCTATGGCGGGCTGCTTGTAATGTGACTAGATGATAATATATTTTGGTTTTGAACTAATATGCACAGCTGAAATTTTATCTTTTTGGCATAAATTGGAGCCTTGTTACTGATTGGTTTGGCACTCTGATAATGACATTTGTGGTGTTCTTGAGACATCTTTAAATGGCACATCGCGTAGAATACAAGGGCGTGGTTAATCTCTCTGTAATATCATAAATGCTTTAGCCTGTGACAAACTACTCTACTGTCCATTGACACTTCTCAATTTGTGAACGTCATCGACTGATTGAGAAAATGTCAAATTTATACTTCACGACTTTCAAGCATGATATTTGTCTTTAATTTTCATCAGGATATAATGGAAACAAGATAGCTGGTACCATTTGTTACAGTTTTACTTTTTTTGTCCTGTTATTGTTCTTTCTTGAAGGAATGTCCTAAGGAATATTAGAGACAATATTTTTATTTGTTAAATTAACAGATATTTCCTTAGATGTGTTTCATTCTGTAAAAAAACTGTGATATAACTGGATAGTTGAAAGTTTATCTTTGGCCTCTATGCAGGTTGGTAATGTTTCTGTCACTTGCACACAAATACCATTGCTTGCTTTGGAGTATGAACCACCAAAGTGAGACTTCTGTCTTGGACCTCTAGTTTCTTTTAAGTATTTTAGTGTCGATCGTACTCACCGATATCTGGAACAAATTGCATTGCTTTTTACCTACTTGTAGGACAAAATCCTTTAAGACCGTTGAAGCCTCATTAAGGGTTGATGCGCTGGCCAGCGCTGGTTTTAGAATATCACGCACAAAACTTGCCAACTTAATCAGGTACACTTCTATTGTTAATAGCATGTTGCACTTATCAGTTTTTCATGTTCTCTCCTTTCCTCTGCCGAGAGTTGAATTAGAAGAGTTCAAGCACAAAAAATAGACTGACACTTTTCTTTTGTGTTATGGTTATTCATTTTACAACCGTTTTTATGAACAACCTTGCCCTAAGTTGTGAACCAAAGAGTTGGTAAGTGGGTTGAGGAAGTTTATCTAACCTCTGTAGTAACCTTTTCTTCATCTTTTACTTCCACAGGTTGAATAGCATTCTCTGTCATCTTTAACCTTTTCTCATCCTTTACTAAGGAGCTGTTTGGTTCGCTATTATAAGGGGTGGAAAACTCAGAAAACCCCTCCACGTCAGATTTTTAGACCTCCACGTCAGCTTTTTTGTTTCCGTCCATTTCTTTGTGCCGCTTTGGTTCGCTCGAATGGAAGAGGGAAAACTCTGCTGAAATCGCCGCCAACTAAGATTTTTTTCCCTCTCCGATTTCCTTCCCCAACCAAGTGAAATTGATGAAAACTCTGCCACGTCAGATTTTTTCCTTCTCTGCTTTGTTTACAAAAGTTTTTCTTTTTTTCTATGCGAACCAAACACAAGAAAAATAAATACATTGGTTTCTCACTATTTTTTATGTGCGAACCAAAGCAAAACAATCTATTTCTTGGAAAAGTTTGGAAAACTCAAAACTTGTGTTTCTTTACATGGAATTGCATTTCTCTATATCAAGGAAACGAACCAAACATCCCCTAAATAGAAATAGTTTGAATAAAGTTTTCGGCCACTCATGTGAACTGGAAATATTGAGGGCCACATTTGTGAAATAGGTCAAGTTACTTCCTTTTCAACTATTGGTAAAAAAAATCCGGGAAGACTATATACCACTTTATAGGATAATTTCGCCTGCAAAATGTCATGTGAATTGTGCCTTTATGCTAGCCAGTATAAAGATGAAACAGGGATTTGAATATGAGGTATAATTTTGGAGGAGGTGTTGATGAGAAACACATTTTTTAATTTAAAATTTGCTTTCCCCAGGAAAAAAAACATAAATAAATGGCCCAGAAAGAACAAAGACACGGAAGCCACAGTTAGTTTGCTTAAACCTATGTTTCTCAATGCTGGAATTACGTGAATGGATATGAGAGTGTACCTATCACCTGCCTGCAGGATGTACCTGTCACATGCGTAGAAGATTAAAGGATATTTTGTTTGAGGTTAGAATACAGTTCATGAACAAAACTTTCAGAAAGATGCAGAAGATGACCATCAACCTTCACATACAGAGCGTGTTCTTGTGGCGAGGGTTGTAAACAGTAAAATATTAGTTTTACCATGTTTAGGGAAAATGATAATCAATATGTTATTGACCTGTGTAATAAAGAATGAAGTAAAATTATTATTAAGAGGTGCTTCACACTATATCTATAAGTGCCAAATAATGAGGGGGAAACCAATTGGATCGAGAACTAGTGTCTTGAAGAAGAATTCTGCTAAAAGTACCTAATCCCTAATAATTTTACCTAGTTAGAACGGGAAGCCTGTTCATGTAATGACGCCGAATGATTGGATGGGGCCAACCCTAGAGCAGAAGACCTGGTTGGTATTTTTTGAGCATAATATGTGCTCTTGACAAATTATTCTATACAATCATGAAGCTCATTAAAAGTTGAGTTCTCTCTATTACAAGCTTATAATGGAAAACTTATACACCATCACTAGCAATAGATGATCAAATTGATGCAATATTTCTTTTTTTTTTACAGCAATGGCGATGTGCGAATAAATTGGTCTCCTGTGTCAAAAAATGGAGCCACACTCAAGACAGGGGATATCGTTTCGGTTAGTGGAAAAGGGAGATTGAAGGTAATGCGTACACTTTAATTATCCTGTTAAACATAATCTATACATTTTGCAAACAGTGATGGTTCAATGTCATCAAACTTGATAGCTCTCCCCTTCTTCTTTTATTTCCTCAGATTGGCGAGATTGTGACAACAAGAAAAGGAAAGTTCGCTGTCGAGTTAATACAATATTTGTAGGCGTTAGTTCTTCTGAAGTGTGAGTTCCCTCTCTGAGAAAGATGATTTGATGCATGGGAAAATTGGTTGAGTAGGACTAAAGCAACAAGGGAATGTGAAAGAGATGCTCACTTCACAACCTAATTGTAGGTATCTCGGAACTACTTTCGCATGGTAGCTTTTTTTTTTTTTTGGTTAGGTAAATTTATTAGTTTTGTACCAGAAATTCTCAGGGTTTCTTGAGTTGCTTCCTGATGAAAAGTTTCTGGGCATCAATCTCATACAAATTTATACCTAAAATTTCTCCCAATGCCTTTCTAAGATTCATGAAACTTGCTTTCCTATATTCTGGATGGATGCATGTTCATCCACTAGCGAAATATTGATGACATTGACAATAACTTATATTTGACCGAGATGATTGAGTCTTTATTTTTATTTTTATTTTTCCTTTTAAAAGGGAATCGGTTCCGCATGTGGCCTTTTCATTGTTAAAATACTACATTTCTTCCGTTGATCGCTGAAGGTTTGAGGCATAATGCTTTATGCATCAAGTCATCCTAATATTTGCTTCTCTTAGCACATATCTCAGATATTCTATCTTAATCCTTTTATATTTCTTACAATGCAGCGTTAATATTTGGATATTTAACAAACCAAGTTCCCATGTTCAGGTGGCCGTCGATGAGAGTTTCCACATTAACTAAACTGAATTATGTTGAGGATAGCAGCCGAAGTGGCATCCGCATGACTTCGTGAAAGCATTTTTAACACCACAGTAGTTGTGATCTACAATTTATTATATCATATTATTATACATGATTTTATGCTATTAAAGACAGCCATAGTCTCTGTTGTTGCTTGTTACAATGTTATTCTAAACCCAATTGTACACTGTACACAAGATCTCTGCCCATGTATATTGGCTTCGCATGTGCATGTTCTTTGTCCTTAAAAGACAGCTTACTTGTACTTTCAATTTTTTGAGTCAGGACAGCTAGGAACCAGCGGACTTAAAAAAGACAAAGGCGACGCCAGCAACGTCTCTTCCTTCTCTTTTCAATTATTATTAATTTTTGTAAATGGTCAAAAGTTTACATGAGCATCTGTTTCCAAATTTAAAGGGTTTAGATCTCAACCACCCGTCTTTAGTTTCAATTTGTGTCGGTTGAGATCTATGTTTGGTTTTGTTAGAACAATTATAATAGCCACAATAGGTACGCCTCATTTTTCTGCATATATTATATTTGTTGGTGTTGCAATACAATTTGCACTTGTGGCATCTTGGAACTTGGAAAGAAACGAAGAAAGCTTCTGTTTATCATATTAGCTGGCCGAGATAGACATCTACATCCATATCAAACTTGTGGAATAATCAAACTTTCTTGTTTGTAGTTTAGATTTTAAATGAGAAGGAGACCTCGCTTTCTTCTTCTTCGATTCAGATGGATTGAAGGGGACGTGCAAGAAAAGATAGGAGCAACGACTGGACGAGCTTGCCTTTTTTTTTTTAAAATCGATCGAATCGTGTCAATTTTATTATGCTCTAGATAAAGATTCAAGGGTCGGTAGTATTAAATTTCGAAATTAGGCTTGTAATGCTTCTCTCTCTCTCTCTCTCTTTATACTGTTTAGCCAGCAAACGCCAATGATGAATTTTTCTCAAGCTTTGTAAAGAAAACCAGGTCACATTGGTAGGATTTGTTATCTTGTTTCTCCACTGCAAAGGGATTGTGGGGACAAAAGAAAATTTGGAATTTTCCTCAATGCAGCTAGCGATACTTGGAATAAATACAAAGTTCGTTCGGGACATCACTGACGCGGTCTGGACTTTTGGTAGTCGTTGATATTGTCAAAGGTTATCCTAATAATTCTTGATGGTTCCAAAGAAAGAGAATAGAAAGATAAAAAAGAAAATATTGCTTTTATTAGATATGTTTTGTTGGTACGTATGTTTGTTAGAGCATGGACTCTTCTTTTGAGAGTACGTTAAGACTACGTACTTGTGTTCAAAGTTTGTGAATTTCCTATTATTTTTTCCTACCTTGACCAACATTCTATTAAACTTCATGCTAGGTTTGCAGCAATGATACCAGACGCAACAATTACACGGAAAAGCAGATATTTACGTCAGCACCTCCACTTAAACTCCCTTTGGAGTCCGCCGCACCCCGGTTCGAATCCCCCCAGTCCCCAACAATCCGCAAGGAGCTACCTCTTAAGTACCAGAGGGCTCATCCCCAGCACGTGGGCGAGCAGTGTGTGGACCGGGCGAGACGCGAACCAGAGACAGCGGGTCGAGCCGCTACTGACCAAGTAAACCCCGGGTTTCCATCCCCACCCTAAGACTAAAGGAAACCAGGTGAATGCAGTCACGAGGATTCGAACCTTGCCCAACAACGGGCACGTGGCCTGGGGAGATCTCTCCCCCCATGGGGAGCTGCTAACCAAGATCCCACCCCGCGGGTGGTAGCAGATATTTACTTACTTGTGTGTAACTGATCAATTTTGATTAGTCTGTATCACCTCAAGATGATCCACATGTAATCGGGTCGTCTAAGCCGCACATCTGATTGGCGGGGGATGAGCTGCAGCTCGGATGTTATGCGGATCATTTTGAGGAGATGTGTAATTAATCTCGACGGTGTATGCGTGGAGGATTTGAATCTTAAAAAGGTCAAAGATGATGAACTATTATTTTGAGAAAATTCACTTTTTTCCCCCACTACGTTTGATGTTAGAAAATAACAACCGGTACCCTCCAATCTCTCCCTCTCCTGCATCACACGTTACGCATCTGAGCAACTGGTGTCCCGTGTGATCCCGTATTCAAATACCGGCAATTGTCACGTGATGCATGACCTGCATGTCACGTGGTGGCCCACCCTTTTGATTCCCTGTTACGGCCCAAACAGTAATCCAAGCAACATGCTGGGGCCCACTTCCCTTGACCCCAAACCCCAATAACTGACTCGCCCCCCCCCCCCCCCCCAACAATTATGTGGCGCTGCCTAACTTTAAGATTCGATTTCGAATGGTCCCAATTTGGCAAATTCTCGTCTTGGTCATCGCTAAGATTAATGCGGTTGGACCTATTCGTTATCAAGATTTGGACATTTTCTTCTCTGTAGATTTTTAGTGCAATGTGTATGGGTGTTAATTTTAACTTGAAATAATTCGTACTGCATTTATTGTGAATAGCGTAGATAATCATGACGGTTCCTCGCTAATGTAACGTTCATGCTGCCCTAACATTTGTTGCACGGATGTGAATCACCTTCTCTAATGAAATGGTAATCAAAGGTCCAACCGCATTAATTTCTAAGGAGAAGACTTATTAGATGCATAGGATTTCCACCCTTTCTAAAAATTTGATTGTTTCTTGACATTAAAATGAACTGGCAAGGATTTCTCCAATTTTGAAAAAACAAAAAATTAAATGGGACTTTCCTGTCATTTATAAGAACCTACTCTCAATGGACAGAAAAAACTTTGATAATCGTACTAATTCAAAAGACCAAATCGAACTTAAATTCATCTGAAGTTCCTACGTCAAAAACATTAAATTCAAATCTTACTAAATACTAAACTACATACATTAAAACTAATCCATGGACTAATTCATATTCGTTTAATAATCCACAAGTTGACAGAATCCAAATAGATTATCCCCCGACACATTTTCGCAAGTTCTACACGAACGCACCAACCGCTGCTCCTACGTATAAATATTTACAGCCCCAAAAAGTAGGGTTTTGTAAATTTACTGCAGCCTTTTTGCTCGTATTCAATGCGGGCTGTTAGATTCATTACCCTACTACTAACCAATCAGTTATCGACAGCTGTCCTCAACGAACCTGGGCCCGAGAGAGCAGAAACTGCAATGCCCCATCTTTGGTCTCCTTTCACTTTCCCAAATTTAATATTTACTTATTAAAATAATCGCATTCTTACTTGTTTATTATTGCAGAAATCTTGCTTACTTTCCGCCTAACTTCTTCCTTAAGCTAATCACCCATCAAACAAACACTATTCCTTAAGCATTGTTTTGCACTTTAATACCCCAATTTTTCAATCTTTGGACAACTTCAAAATCGTGAAGCTCAATTCTGAGCAGAAAATGCCGGAATTTGACCCATAAATTATAGGTTAACCTTTTTGCGTTCCAAACATTAAATTGTCAAAATAAACTTCACGCCATCAAAATTTAAAGAGAGTAAAATTCCAGGGTATTAAAATGCTAATTAAGCCAAATTCCCAAAAAAAAAAAATAGTCAGAAATAAACAACATTAAGCAGCGTTATCATATAGATGATAATTGTACGTACAAGACTTGGCCGATCACAAGATCTAATCGAAAACCTCATTTAACTTCTCAATAATTAACTGCAGAACCAATCGCACCTCATACAGTCGATTGACCGCCGGCGGACTCCATCCTCGGCGAAGTCAACGGAAACAGAGGCAGAAGCTTGGGCGGTTCGGCGTCCCTCGGCGTCGCCTGCCTCGGCGACGGATGCAAATAATACCCTTTCTCAGCGATCGCTCGATCCTCCGGCGAGACCGAGATCCCCAAATTCGAGCTCACCGGCGACCTGTTGAAAGGGTCAGGGCTCAAAGGAGTGACGGGACTCAGCATGAGCTTGGGGAAATCGAGGACGCTCGGAGACAGAATCTCCACCTGCCGGCGAGCTCTGCGGATCCGGTGAGCATTTGGACGACTTGTTTGAAGGATTGGGTGTCGGCTTGGATGAAGGTCGTCGGGTACGGGTTAGGGTTAGGGTTCGGGTTCGGGTTTGATTTGGGAGTTAGGGGAGGGAGGGATGCTGATGGATGAGCTCCATTATTGGAGCTCGTGCTGCTTGTCGAGCTGCTGTTGGGCGAGGTTGAAGGAGACGGGGGCTTCTGATCCCTGCAAGACTCCCTACCTGAAACCTCCATTGATTTGATGAGAGAGAAAGCCAAGAGAGAGAAACCGAGAGGAGGGAGAGCGCGCTTATTTCAGAGCAAAAGCATTGCTTTCGTGACGAAGGATCTCTCTTTCTTCCTTCTCTTTGCACAAAGGGATATTAATGGGGGTGGGCTGTTTTGAAGTGGGCAAGGAGTTGAGAGGAAATTACTGATAGTTGACCCGAGGGGGCGACGGCAGTGGGGTAAATGACGATACTGCCCCTGGGCTTTGCCATCAATCACATCATTGTGTCCGGGGACTTTAATGGGGCACATTTATTTTGGAATTTGAAATTTCTCCGCAACTTTTTACTTTTGTTGCCTGAGGTGTGTGGATAAAAAGGACTGAATCCCTCTGAGACAACTTTACTGCCGTGTTGGATCTTTACCCAAAAAAGTCAACTCTGTTTCCATTTGTCCAAGAAATTTTTCGGTATTCTAACGAATAATATAGCGGTAACCATTTTCTATTCTGAAATTAATATTAAAATACAAAACTAGTAAGACTGTTTCTCTCTCTTTAACGTATTGATTCCAGCGGACTAATCTGCTTCATCTTCAAAAGTAGTAAAAAAAACTTAGCAGTACACTAAACACTCATTTTCAAATTAAAAAATGGCAATGTAAATGGCATGTTGATGCTTCAATACATGAGTTTTTCTTTTAATTGGTTCTTCCGTTAATGTAGAAAACTAATCGAGAGCTATGAGCAAAACCCAGAGCTGACCAAGAAAAAAAAAACTTATCTAGCAAATTCTTGAACCATAATTGTCCTGAGTTCACGTATCACCCTAATACACCTAGCTTTGTGCACAATCATGTTAGCTTCTGGGACCGGAAAGTTGTGCTGATGCATCGAAACAATACTTAATCCTTTGGATTAGTGCACTAATTAAGTCTAAATGCCAATATTAGTGCCATCTATTAGATTTGTGTGGTACTTCCTTTTAAAAGTGTCTTTATTTTCATATTTAGTCTTATTCAAGTATATTAAATTTAGATGCATATAAAAGGCTATCTCATCAATTGCATCATGTATTATATAACGAACAATCATAAATAATATTAAGCGGCCGGAATGTTAAAACGGATGGGGAAAAAAAGTGCGCCCTCTACTATTTTTGTAGAAGTCGTAAACCAAAAGGACTACTTCTTCCCACTATAGAAATCAAAGCCTCCTTGTTTAATAAAAGTTGGCAAAGCTTCTCCCTTCTTAATAAATTAGTTTGTTGATTAGGTCTTAGATTCAAAAACAAGGAGGGGGAAAAAACAAACAAAAAGAAGACCACCCAGGTTCCGTGATTGAATGGCAAAATTGAAATTAGTTATAAAAACCGCGGGAATTTTCGTAAACCATTGCCTTGATTTCCTAGCAGTCATAATACTCAATTGGGAGAGAGCGGGGACCGAAAGCCGTATAAAACACAGGGTCAAACGATGTCGAAAGCCTGTTACATCAAGAATCGGCCGGTCTTTATTATCATTATTGTTTCTTATTAATTTCCAACGCTGTAATTATTATTATTATTATTATTTTCTTTTCCCCTTTTCCTTGGGATCCAAAATTCAAAAAGAGCTGCATGCAATTACGATGGTTGGGTTGCCAACCTGTTAGCACGAGATTCGTGAACTTTTCTTCAATGTTTGTCCCACTTTTGAATTAATTTCCTCACTCTTAACTCATCTCTGGTGAAGTTCGTAGTCAAATAGACAGGACTTTTTTAGTCAAGAAAATTAAGGGAACTGAAAAAGAATAAAGGAAGAAATATTGTCGTGGGTTATATTTAGTAAGTGTGGGTAAGTTCTCGTTGTCTTGGAGGTCGAATTATGAATTAGGTTTAGTTTGGCAACTCGTCCTATGAGTTTTGGTTTGAACGGGTTTAGTTTAGGTTCAGGAGAGACGTGAGCCAAAACAAAACAAGTACAAAGGAAAAAAAAAAATTTGTCCTAACACTCACTCAAGGTACCTAGTTAAAGTCAAGATGGTTCAAATATTTAAACATACATATCCATGACAAACATTAAAATATTATTACTTTATGATAAAAAATATATCAAATAAAGAATACATATCTTTGTCGAACATCCCGCATACAAGTAGGATTCTCTTACATTAAAACGGTAAAATATCCAATATGCATTTTATTATTCTACACTGTTCGGAACATCTTACTTTGTATGCAGAATGTTATGATAAAGTTGTTGCGAATGATTGTTTAGACGACGATTCAAGGTGCAATCCGAAAACCTTAGATCCAGTATTGTATGTGCTTTGTTTGTGCCTTCTGATCGACCAATAAATAGTACTTTAACTTCCAAATTTTTGATGTGCTGAGACTTGAGAGTATGTCATTGGTATTTCTAACACAACTAAGCCAGAATTTCATAGGGAGAGATACATTTAAGTCTTCATAACTCCATTGATCAGCTTGGACTTATTTGTAAAATTAATCTTGACTGTCAAAGAACGATCCAATATCTCTTAATCACTCTAAGCTAGCTTGACCTTTTCTTTGAGTTCACATCTGAACAAGCGACGATTTTAGCATATGTTCTCCAAATTTCTACTGAGGACAATTAGTGCAAATGTGGACAAACAAGTCAAATCCAAGTGTTGGTTCCAAATCAAATCATGAAATTTACACCGCCTGATTTTTTTTTGGGCTCTATTAACGGGTGCTCCTATCTAGAGAATTCATTAATCAGGAGAGAGAAAGAGAGAGACTTGAGCTGAGAGAGAAAATTAATTAGAAACATCGGGCTACATTCTTCCCAAATCTCTCTCATGCTTCACGAGTGTCTAAACGACTTCTGTTAATAAAATAAAAATTTTTATTTTATTTCTCTGTACAAAGCTATAACTATCGAGGGAGTTAGTGATTCTCTATCTTGTGGTGTAGAAGTAGTATATAAGAGATTAGTGTAATTATCATCATTATAAATTAGAGGGCATTTGTGAGGACTTATTTTTTGAAGCTTTTATAAGCTACGCTGGCTTTTGAGCTTTATAATAAAATTTCTATAAAAATTGTTCGGATAGAATTGTTATTTATTTGGTTAAACCTAGCTTAAAAGCTAATTTTTCAAGGGAACCCCAATTGTTTTATATATATTGAGCATAAAAGCTAGCTCATATGGAATATTACCAAACACATAGAAATAATTAGGGGTGAACATGGTTCGGTCCAAACCGAAAAAACAGACCGAACCGAACGAAAATTAACAGTTCGGTTCGGTTTTATGAGTAGGACGGTTTGGATCGGTTTGAAAACTTTTCAACCCGAACCGACCCGAACCGACAGAATACCCAATAGTCCAAAATATACCCGTTCTGAATCTCACTTAAACCCGACCCGTCCCCAAAGACTCAATGTCTCAAACCCTAAAGTAAACTCCCATTGCCACTTTCTCAGCCGCCGCTCCTTAGTTCCTCTCTCTCACTCTCTCTCACTCGGAGTGAGTCACTCATCATTTCCGCCTCTCTCACTTCCTCTTCCTCACTTCATCATTTCCTCAGTCCTCTCTCTCACTCCTCAGCCACCAGTCACTCGGCACTCCGCCGCGCTCCACAGTCTTCATGGCCGAGGCTGAAACATCTCCTCATGCTCAGGATCTATCTCCGGCTTTGGAGGGGACACCCGCACCCGTCGCCGTCGCCGAGGCCAGGGTATAAATTGAAAATAATTCTTCTACATCTCAGTGATCTCACATGATCTCTCGGTTCCATAGCCTTATAGGCCTTTTCTTGTGAAGAAGTTCATCTTGGTGTTAAATTCTTTATTTTATTGTTGAAGTATAAATCTGTTTGCAGCTCTTAATCATATATGCCCAAATTCATTATATGATCTCTCAGATTCTCATGCCTATAGGTCTATACGCTTGGCTTGTGCTAAATATTGATAGTGAATTATTTATTTTCTACACTCTGGTTATCATGATTACAGGCCTATATCTGTAAACCTTATATTATTTTTTCTTAATGCAATGTTTGATGTTGCTCGTTTGTTTATTGGATAGTTCAAAACACTGAAAATAGGCATTGATTTTGATTATTGGTGTCAATTTGACTATTTATATATAAATCATATTAGTGCTAGTCTTAACTCTTAAGTTACACTTTGTCTTGATAAGTATAAACTTATTTTCTATAATTACTTTTAAGTATTGAATAGCTTACAAAATTAGTATGCTAAAAAGTTGATTCTAATCAAGTTGAACTGTTGAAATAATCTGCAGGCTTCTCAAAAGGAGAATCCTAATGTAAATGCAAGTCAAGTTGATTCTAATCAATCTACACAAGGCTCACAGACTTTGACTAAAAGGAAGGCAATAAAAGGAAGATCGGAGGTATGTTGATATCTTTTTTTTCCTTTAACACAGTATGTTGTTTGATAACAAGTTTGATAAAGTTATAACCGAACAAACCGAACCGGACCGCACCAAAACGACTTGCAACGGTTTTGTTCGGTTTTAAATTATAGGCGGTTCGGTTCGGTTGTTCAAAATTTAGTAAAAAACGAACCGAACCGACTGTTTGCACACCCCTAAAAATAATAATGATAGCTTATAATTAAGCTAATTAATGTTCTCCTCTATAGTTTCTTTCTTTTTCACCCTCTAGGTAAATAACCACTCTTAACTAATTTAATTCAAAAAAACCTTTGATATTTAAGAGGTTTTGTATATAAAAAACTCATGAAATTTTCTTATTTTACTATAATATATTTGAAGATTCACTTTTAAAAATCAAAATTACACCGTTAAATCTACTGTTTCAGGTGCCTTATAGCATGAGGAAAAAGGATGAAAATGAAATATTAACATGTTACCCCTAGCCCTTAGCATAATGGAAGAATGTTATGTTAAGATTATGTTTTTGATTCTTTGTATAACTTCATAAGAATTAGATAGGGTTAGAGATCTATTATGATTAGGAGACTAGGTCTCATCATGATTAGGGGTTTGAATCCTATTCTAATTAAGAAGGTAGGCTAGAAATAGGGTTTTGATTTTCCTATAAATATTCTTCTATTGTTAGAAGAAAAACCAAGCAGATGAGAGAGAACCAATATTCTTGTAATTTAGGGTTAGCAGAGGGTGTAGCCTGATTCAAGAATATTGTGTGAGAG